ACATCTTTTATATTTTTGCCTATATATTTACCTAAAATGTCCTACAAAGATTATATTTGAAAGTGTGGGAGCAGAAAGGAGCTCAGTAACTTCTATAATTGCCCAATTTATTCCGAAATTTGGAAGTCATTAACTAAGATCAACTGAAATGTCTTGTGACAACAATAACAGACCAAGAATCAGGGAAAGATTCATGGAGATTTCGTCTTTATTATAAGTAGAATTGACTATTTGTCAATCTTGCTCCTGTCAAAACTTGGACAAAGTAAACATCAGACGCCATCTGGAACTTTAATACATCACGAAAAGTCGTAAGGTCGTAGACACCAGAAACGGTGAATTACTTAAATATGAATGAATCATGCCTGCTCAATTAAATGAAAGGATTTGTTTCAATTCCGTCATGTCAACAATCATCATCCTATAGGTGAAACGAAAAAAAATATCCTTTAAGATTACGAGACACATGAAACAAATCAGTCTTCGACTGACACGATCGTTTTCATTTGTGAGCAAATGTCACTCGTCACCTCCGTTATCAACTGGAGGTCGGGTCATCTGATAAAGTTTGTGGTAGTAAATAAAGTCTCAGAATAAGCGTCGGCGTAAGCACTCGACCTTCGTACTGACCTTATCAATTGCATTGGGTACGCCACTAGCTGAGGGCGAGCAGCTAAGCATCCGAACCATATTATGTTTGATTAGCCATGGCACACATCTCTTGTGACAATAAATCGGCATATATTTTCATTTGAAATATATCACCGCGGCCCATCATCCTTCAGCTCTGGTCTGATCGACTGTTGTCTCAGTACAAAGATAGGTTTCAGAAGGTAGTGTTCTCAAACACCATGCATCTGTGACTTATTCAAACTAATACAGACAACCTACTTAAGTGAAATCTTGCTGATGAAAATTTGCAGTTAGACCTTAACATATAAGGAGACTTTAAAATCGATAAACGTTCATACAGAACCAGGTCTCAGTTCACATTCACACAAAAATAATCTATAAATAAATGGTTTAAATGGTTTTGGGCGGAATAGAAGAGGCTTTCGCCTAACGGCTTTCGTATCTAGTAGCAGTGGATCACAAGTACCTTCAGGCGGGAACCTAGGCAAATAATCGATAAAAAATGAAAAAATTGTTCTTAGTCCTCAAGAATACGTCAAGCATTTTTTCTTAAAGGATTCCTGTATGGTCACTTAGACTAGCTCAACCGGCAGCAAATTACAGCATTCGACTGCTCTTAAGGAGTAGAATTTGTGTCTACTGTTCGTTGAGCTGTGTTGAATCTCCGGTTTCTTGGTGTTATTCATAAGTTCTGTGTTTGAACTAAAGTTAAGTGAATGTTTACAGGGATATCTAGACGTATTTGGAATACTGTGAGCCATTAAAAGGTCATCTCTAAGACGCCTGTACTCTAATGGGTTCAAAGATTAGAGGCGCTCTTCATAAGGATTGGATTTGAGTCTCTGAATTTATATCGTGGTTTGAGATTGGATACGTTCCAGAGTGTCCTTATCCATGTGAAGTTAGAAAAAATGCTATGGAAAGTTTTTCCATAAAACTGGCCAAAAGTGCGCTTCAATATTACCACTGCAAAGTTTACTCGAAAGGCATTTTTGTCGCAGCGTAAAACTTCAAATCGTATGGTACCAATACTTTTAGATCGTTTTCAACTTGGGATACATCTAGAGTGGAGTTACCTAAGTTGTAGCTGTAGTATGCAACATCTCTCCGATGGACTACTTTACACTCTGAAGTTTTAAGGATAAGTCCGTTGTCATCTGACCAAATTTTAAGTCCAGTTAGATTCTCTTGAAGTGTCAGTTTATACTCTTGTTTGCGTATCTCTCTCCAGAGTTTCACATCATCAGCAAGGAGTAACAAATCTGACGAAACTTGTTGTGGTAAGAATTTTATACAAATCAAGAAAAGAAGAGGTCCTGGTACTGAACCGTCTCTCTCGTAGATTACTGTCGATCTACCATTCGGCACAATTATTTGAATACGATACATGTTCTAGCCGCAGAAACTGGTTTGAATGAATATGTAGTGGTATTGGTTCTTAAGCACACGATCTTTGAAGCTGTGCGTTTAATTACAGAGAAACTTTACTTTCAACATGTAACACTAAGAGAAGGTCAACAATTGTGAAAGCGGCAACAATTAATAAAAATGGCATAACTCGGACATTTAGGCGTGGTCGCGCTGAATAACCTTTTACATTTAGTTTGAATATATTACTCTCCACCCAGCTCGAATGTGTTCTTCAGAAGTGTTAGATGTTATATTGCTGATTGTCAGGTTGAATGACTCCGTTTAGATAAAGACGTGACTTCCATATAGGGTCTTATAGATTAGGTAGTCAAATTATTATAAATCTACGATTTTAGGATTAAGCTTGTTATTATAACAGCAAGGATGTATGTACCTATTTTGAGTTAGACCGTAACTCTACAAATAAACTGTGTCTACTGCCTGTTTCTAACACTTTCAACAAATAACATGATAACAGAGGTGGTCCACGGAAAGACCTTGAGGTGTATTTGTGCCATCTGCATTACTAATTCGTCACATAGTATTTTTTCGTTTAGTGTTGATGGAGAAGTAGGTGTAAAGCTGTGTTCTGTTGTCATATAAGTTATATACTCAAGAGTTTGCTTCTCCTTATGAATGCATATAATGCTTAATAAGTCTGCCTTAGACTCAGAAATATCCAAATGAAATTGTTTGTAGAAAGCATACTGCTGACAACCAGTAAAAGAAATTGAGTGCAAAGAGTGTTAAGCATCGGCTTAAGACTTACTTACTTACTTACTTACACCTGTTACTCCTCGTGAAGGAGCATAGGTCGCTCACCAGCATTCTCCATCCAACCCTGTCCTGGGCAATCCTTTCCAGCTACTTCCAGTTGTAATTCATCCTTTTCATATCTGCTTCTATTATCCGACGTAATGTGTTCTTTGGCCTTCCTCTTTTCCGCTTCCCTTCAGGATTCCAAGTTAGAGCTTGCCTCGTGATGCAGTTTGACGATTTGCGTAATGTATGTCCTATCCATTTCCATCGTCTTTTCCTAATTTCCTCTTCAGCTGGAAGTTGGTTTGTTCTCTCCCACAGAAGGCTATTGCTGATGGTATCCGGCCAATGGATGTTGAGTATCTTGCGTAGACAGCTATTTATAAATACTTGTACTTTCTTGATTGTGGTTGTTGTAGTTCTCCAAGTTTCAGATCCATACAGTAGAATTGCCTTGACATTCGTATTGAAGATTCTCACTTTGATATTGGTTGAAAGTTGTTTTGAGTTCCATATGTTCTTCAATTGTAGGAATGCGGCCCTTGCTTTGCCAATCCTCGCCTTTACGTCTGCATCCGAACCTCCTTGTTCATCGATGATGCTTCCCAGGTATGTGAAGGATTCTACATCTTCCAGAGTTTCGCCATCAAGGGTGATTGGATTGCTGTTCTCCGCTTTGAATTTGAGGACCTTGGTTTTCCCTTTGTGTATACTGAGGCCTACTGATGCAGAGACTGCTGCTACACTGGCTGTTTTCATCTGCATCTGTTCGTGTGTACGTGATAGGAGGGCTAGGTCATCTGCGAAGTCCAGATCGTCTAATTGATTCTGAGCTGTCCATTGTATTCCGTGTTTTCCTTCAGATGTTGAGGTCTTCATAATCCAGTCGACCACCAGAAGAAAGAGGAAGGGAGAGAGTAAACAGCCTTGTCTGACTCCGGTCCTTACTTGGAATGCATCCGTCGGCTTAAGACTAAGACACATTAATGGTTTTGTCTTAGAGGTCTTTTTTCTCCATAAAATAAGCTAAGCTGAAAATGCATACAGTGGAGAAATAAATCCATTCACGATCGATTATTCAGTGTCATAAAAGAACTACGGTTATTGTGGGAAGTTAAGTCAGCAAGTCAGAGAAACAACCAGACACTGCCACGCTTAATGTATATCTTTACGAATAAAGTATTTCTAGTCAATGAATTCTCGCCTCTGGCTTATCTGGATGAAAGCAATCGCACTACCATATTCTTCAAATTTATTTGAAAAAATCAAAGTACTGAATAACGTGCAATCTTGAGCTGACAGAATAGGAAATCTCCCCCATTCATATATGCTAGATAAGAGTTATTATTGAATATGACCTTATGTAGTACAAAGCTATGGGTTTCACCAATACTTGATAAGGCTTTCCATCAACTTAGGGTGAAATCCAATCAGACTTTCCGATCTCCGAAACCGAAGCCAATGGGTAGAATACAAGTTAACTGGGTAAGATTTGTTCCCTACGACCTAATATACCCTAAGTGTAACTAATACGCCTTTCGGCCATTCTTGGACTGGTATCATTGAACATTTGAGTTTTTTCGGTTTTATTTAAAGTTATTAAGGAACAAAAAACGATGTTTCCTCCTCTTTGAGGAATGGATAAAAGCACCAAAGTGTATTTGAAGGTGAGCCATAAAATTAGTATACGGACTTATGTACAGGTCACACAAGGAATTCCTGAAACCACTAGATTTATACCTCCTAGAATGATGGAAGTAGAGGTAACCTAATGATAGCCTGCTAGATTATGGTCACTGGTTAAAATCCTCTGAGACACACTTAAATTAAGCCCTAACATAAAGGATATAGGATGTAATCGGAATCTTCGTCTAGTTTAGCTTATGGCACTATAGGGTTACTTTCTATTTTTAAAAATGCTTGAGTCTTATATTTGTCTACTGTCCAGAAATAAGTTGATAGAGTTCATTTACACTGAACTCCATGTTTTCACAAGGACTCAGAATATCATCTTAAACTATTTAACTGAAACTGCTGTTTGTTGAATACATAAATCCCTATTCGCAAGTTTCAGTAATCCTCAGACAGTAGGTACGAACGATTGCAAATCATAGTAGACCTAATTCTATCTACAACTACATGAAATTATTTAACGACTGGGTACTTTTGTTTAGTTTCTTCAATTACTTAGGTCATTTGTTTTCAAACGGTTCAATGTTTGGGTGTTCGTTGGATTTTATCATTCTGATGCACTGTATGTTTTTATTTCCTGTGATGGGTAATGGCTTAATGCATTTTTAACAGTCGGTTTAAGTTGCCTCAGTTTATTGTCTCGTCTAATCGATGAAATTTTCTGGTGAAACTTAAACCAACTTTCACAGTTATATTTATCGCTTGGCTCCAGCGTACAGATTTCCTCCTAATGTTGATTGCCTATCGTTGTCTGGAATGTCATAGGCGAAAACGTGGCATTTTCACCCTATACATTTCCGAAAAATATGCTTAAATTTGATCTTCCTTTTCTGGCATATTTGATTGTTTTTATATCAAGGACAACCTATCTTTGATAGATTTCAGTCACTAAAATAATCTCATTATCCATCATCATCCTAATAATACCTAGTTATGTATGTCACGTAGTACTAGATTGGGAAGTTTCAATTTATTTTATTGTGGCATATTCATTGGGCAATGTACGTTGTACAGTATATTTAGTTGAAGATGAGCAATTATAGATTTAAGGTTTCCATTTGCCTAAACACTGGTGAAATCACAATCGTTAAGAGTGTTTTGGCACATTTCCTTCAGTTACTACACGTTTTTTGACCTGGTGGCGGCTTTTTTTCACTTAGTAGTTGCAAATTTTGTCATTCAGTTGACCTGCTAATGTTCGACTTGAAAACTCATACCAAAACCTTAAATTTGCAACCGGTCTTTTTCCAATTTCTGTGATGTCAGATTTTTATCGCTAGCATTCCTTTTGGTTGTCACAAGAGACCTAAGTGATCAATGCTCACAACAGCTCACATAATATTACCCATAAATTTTTGCCATGCAATTATTTTGACCACAAAAATGTCAGCGAGTACTTTCGACGTAACCATTAGTAGAGTGATGCACGAATCGTCACACAGTCATCCGTAATATAACACCACGTTCAATAATATCTAGTTTAAAAAGCTAGTGTGTACGTTGCTATCAAATCGTCTATTAGACTCACAACCTGTGCCTCCAGTTATCAGGTATATGACCTTTACCTAGACGCTATTCCTCATGTCATCGTTAGTGTGTTTCTATTAAATTGTCATCAACACTTCTTAAGCAAAACGATTTATGTTCTTCATTGTCCCATTGGTAATATGTACTAATGTTACAGCAATACATGTAGCGTCAGTTAGCATAAACCTAACAACCCGTTTTCTTCTAAGTCAATAATTCTACTAATCCTGATTTCCAAGATAAGTGGAGGTAACGCAGTTTCTTTTCAGAAACAAACTTCACCATACCTAACGAACTAATTTTTTGATTCTCATTGTAGCAAATATATTGATCAAACTAGTGACCACAAGTTATCACCTAAGTAAATTCCAGACCTATCTCCTCTTGAAGTTGGGTTGACTTTCAATGTTAAAGCATGTCCATACTAATGCCTATTCATGATCCTTTCCTTATAAATTTGTACTAATACTTTTAGTGAATTAGTTTTTATCAGGCAGCTCCTGCGTCGCTTGTGTGCCATTAGTTTTTTGTAGCTAAGATGATGGATTTTTAATTCCTTATTTAATGCTACCGAAGTCTACTTTTCTAGTCTTCAATCAAATGTAACCTTTCAATTCTAATTTTTAAATAAACTTTACTTGATATTTCGATACAATAGTGTAAAAATAGGCTACTATTCTCCACCTCATAACCAATTCTTTAAGTACATATTAGATGTCTCTATTTGAAAATCTGGCATAAAATTCAATCAGTATTAAATCCATTTTCGTTTGATTCGAAACATTAATTTGGTAGATGTATAGACAAATAATTCAAAAACTACATGAACCCTTGGCTCATCTCTGTTTAGTGGCCATCTTTACCAACGGTTGAATAGATATTGGTGATTATGTTAAGGGACGTCTTATACTGGTGCTTGCTATAAACAAATGCTTATCAGGACACAGATGAATTAATCTTTACTCGCTCTTTTTTCTTCAGTATCTCACAGATAGTCTTTTAGCCTCCTTTGGTTTACTTTTCACATGTTCATTTGGGAACCCCTAATTGACCTCACCACTGGTTATGAAAGTTGCAGATCAATGCTTACTGTTTACAGATCATTATCGTGCGGTAATTATTTTCATACAAACTCAATTTTTTATGTAACGTTACTGAAACCGGCCACATTAGTATGATGAATAAGCATCAGTATGAGTTTCTGAGGCAAAATAAGTTGAACGCGCTTAAGTCACCAATGTCATGAATTCACTCATTTAACAAGTTCTCTGCGTTAAATAAATTTACGTGATTAATTGCATGTAGCTTCCACAAAATTATATCAGTTCTAAAAACGTAAACTGAATACCATTGGCTAGTTTATGTTCCATATGCACGGAGTAGAAATACCGGCTTTGAACTATTTTCTATTGTATATCTAGACTTTGATAACCCAGATTTACAGTCTAATTATTTGAGGTAGCGCAATGGTTTATACCATGGGTGTTTGTTTTCTGGTTGTTATAATTCTCACATTGTGTAACTGGTTATTTTATTTTGTTTCGCGTGTAGATAATTCGTCATATGTTCTACTGGAGTCATTCAAAATAGCCACTTTTCTATAGAATGTGCACTTTGGAGAAAAGTGATCCGTCAGCAACATCTGGGCATTCCGTTGCTATCGTAAATTCGACGATTTCTCGGGCTACATTAATGGATCGACAAAATAATTTACATTCTGTAAAGGATGATCCATCTAGTCACCACTGTTTGACACACTTTAAAAACAGAAAGTCATATAAAAACAGACCTTCAAGTTCTATGTACAGATTGAAAATCCTCAAACGTTGTGGTCGGCACTTAAAACGATTAATTGGGTAAGGTTTATTATGTCTTCGTTCGCTACTAAAATTAATAATAATTAGGACAAGTACATGTTTATCAACTCAAAATCTGTGTTTATCTTATCTGTTCTTTAAGCATTAAACTGTAGTGTATTTATCGAATGAACTATCACACCTCATAAGTTAATTACACAGTTGTACAATGTACATAGTTAGTAGTCTTCCTAGTCTGTATATTATTAAAGAAGTAAAAAAAATATTTAACAGATTAGTAATATATTTAACGATTTATGACGAAAATTTTGTTGATAGAGCTAGTAATATCAGTTATCTATCGAAACCAAATCAGGTTTCACCTGATTTTTAACCTGTGATTTATTGATTGGAAATCGAGTTTCTAGTACTAAAATATTCGGTACGATTTTTCTTTACCTTTTTGCTCTTGAATGATGAAATTTAAAAATGTAACGCAACACTACTTTTTTCCTTAACTTATTTCCCAAGTAATTGGGTATGAGTCACACTCCAAGTGTGGCGGATGATAATACTGCCCGACTGCCTTAACTGAAGTACATAAAACGGGTCTTGAACCTGGCTAAAATACAAACACCTTTAACCAATAATCCAACACCCAGCAATGGAACTTCAGTCACATTGCTAAATCATTCAGTAGCCAAGAAGATCAATTCCCAAGCCCTCGGTTTTGGAGTGACTGCGTTGTCTGGATTATTTATTGCTAGTCACCCTGTAGTATAATACGGCTGATTCAGTCAGTCAGTAACAACGTAGAACTTCGTACGTACGTACATCAGTTCGAGTTGCCACACCACATTAGCACAGAGATGCAGTGGTTGATTCAAATCCCGTAGCGCTAGATGTAGTAAGAGTATAAGCTGTAATCAGAAAAATTAGGGTTTGAAGATGTTATTCAAGGAGTATAATCCAGTGAAATAAATTTGGAAAGAGAAAAAAGAAAGAGACATGAAGAATTCAGAATATTAGAATTTGAGAGAACACAAAGAGTGGATGCACCTGCGCCATTGCAAACGATTTCGAGCCATGTCATTCAGGGTCTCTAACCATCGGTTGCTATCACCTCTCGGTCCCCGATCATGTAGTCTACACCTACCAACATGACTCAGTTCACTTTTCAGTGACTCATGAACTTGTGACATGTTTTGGTCTGGCCGCCTCTGGCTTTCTTCCAATCGCACATCGAGGCAGTCGGTGGTTGGGCATACGTAACACGTGTCCGAGCCATATCAACTTCATCAGTTGATTTGCCATCCTTACCTAGTACCCGTTTCCTAACAACTGCGTTACTTACTCGACCGTCCCAGGATATACGAGCAATGCTTCGAAGACATCTACGATCGAATACTAGTAACCTAAGAATATCCTATACTCTTACCGGCCATGTTTCACTGCCATAAAGTAGGACGGGACGAAGTGCTGCGCAGTAAACACGTCTTTTGGTTGATAGACGGACATCTCGCCTACGCCATAAATGATGCAAGTTGGCGAGAGCTAGTCGAGCCTTCTGTATCCGTGCTGAGGTTTCGTCACACACCAGACCACAAGAGCTGATGAGGCTTCCAAGATAAGTGAAGCGATCGATCCAAGTAATCAGCTAGTCCCTATATTTATCCCGTATTTCAGTTCTCACACCTTACAACTAGATTTTTGGCTGTATTATCACTACACTTGATGATGAAGTCATTGGAAAGTTCAAACCCAATAGCTAAATTACGACATAATTACAGATGGAAGAATAAAGATAATTGACATAGTACTGTAATCACACCTCTCCATGTTTTGTTCAAGTGAAAAAAAGAAAACATGTAGGATTATATGAATTTGTCATTCGTTCATGTAACTTATTTCCAAATATAAGCTAGTCCTCAGATAACACTGAAATGCTAAAAACGATTTATACTGAATCCTAACTTAATTTGAAATGTATTGATATACTGCGTCATGTATATGCAAGTTGATGTGTTTCAAACAAATGAGTAAACACTCAATCAAAATCCTGCGGAATAAATATTGAAATCTCAATGGTGTATAATGTGATTATTTAAAATGTTTTCTTATCAGAAATAATTGTGGTTGTACAAAATAATTCACACTATGAAACTGCCAATAGGTAACGGTTTTAGTTTCGGGAAAATCATACGTAAGTATGCCATTTTATGCCATTAATACATTTATCTTCATTGGTGAATTTAGTTGTACATGAAACAACACTTAGATGATTAGTTCTTGTAATGAACCAGTTCGTCTTAGATACAGTTCACCAGTTTGCTAAAATCAATGTCGTGTATAGTTTGGATTTGTTTAGTAATTTTTAGGTAATGATTAACAATGAAATCCACGATGCGCGTTTTATCCCATTCATGACTTTTTAAATACATGTATCTTCAACAGTGTCAGTATGCCATATGCGACTGAAACTCTGACCCCATTACCTAAGACACTAAAATCGGAGATCGATCTTGAATATCAGTTCTCGTAAATTCAATCTTTTTTGTATTTAGTTAACGTAATGCGTGTATGTGTGTGTACCATTAGAATTTTCTTTAAAAGACCTCGCTTATCATTACCCGACTACATATCGTCGAAATAGTACGTCGGAGCTTCTTATGCGTCTTTTACTTGCTTAGATAATGATATACACACTTTGTTAAAAACAGATTGAACCATCTTAACGCTAATTCTCTTATAATTATCATGATAGAAAATCTTTCTCATACCATAGCTAGAAATGAATGAGTCAGCTTCTAACATGCTCTTCATCCTATCTATCATCATTTTTTGCTTCTTTTTCTTGTTTTATTTAATGATCAGCATTGTTATTATTGAATAATCAACATTTGGATGTTTGTGGTTTTCATAGTCTAACCCCCGTCTATCTTTAAAATGATTTGCTATTTGTCAAGGTCATCTATTATATCGCTTTTCTACTTATAGATTTCCTATGAATTAATTCTTACCCACCAATCAATAATTTCTCTATCTACATAAATATATATATCTGTAATCGATTATAAGAGAGAGAGAGAGAAATTAATCATATATATATATGCATAGTTTTTTGTAAGAGGTCTTTGTGTGTGTGTGCCTATTTAACAACATCGTATTGAATACTGAGCAGCGGTAGAAAATTTGATGTACAGCTTAATTATTGTTAACGTTATCTATCACATAATTTATTGAAAACATCTGTTTCTTTGTGTCAGTTCTGATTTATTGATCATGATCGATGAATATTTTTTTTCGATTGACTGACTGATTGGTCCAATTCGAATAGATATTATTATTATTATTATTCAGCGCAAATGCTCGTTTGTCCGTTCACTCATTCATTCACCCACACCTACCTCAGTGTTTTTTTGTTGTTGTTCATTATTATTATTAACCAATAGTTAGTCTAGTTCTTTGTTGGAGGATATGATACTGTATTTTTGAATTGTCAGTATGAAAAGTGTACTAGTTTTCTGTCTAATACATATAAATGATACATTTGGACGCCAATATTTGTCATTTTTGTGCAATAATTAAAAATGTGTGTTAATTTATTGTATTTTGATACCCTAGTGTAGAGCTTGTTATATATTGAATCAAATGGAACTACTGAGTAATGATGATATTTATTAATCAGGACTTCCCACTTCCATGCACATATTATAAATTTACATAATTAGTCAGGAACTGGGACATATATGCTTTGTTCCAAATTACTATATAACATTAATACAACGCAATGCCCAAACCGTAGGAAGAGTAACAGTAGCAGTGGTAACGCCTAACTTTAGGCTTAAAAGACATTATTCTAGAGAATATAAATTCTTAAAATAAAAAGTATAAAGTAATTTTAAGACTGAAGACCTAAAAATAAAATAGTAGATGATAGCTGGTTGAAATTGACCGATAGGAAACCCTGAACTTAGGTTTCGTGTTATTTAGCATTCGTCAGTATGGTGTACCGGTAATCCTACTGGAGCTGGTGGTCCTTGGTCAATTTTATCCCTTGTCACTCAGTTTCGCAGTTTGAAGACGTAACTACTGGGCCGAAACTGACATCTAGAACCGAGATATTTATAATTAATCTTGTTTTAGATGTATAATCGAACGATAAAACTGGTTGTTACTTTGTAAAAATATGATATTTCTGGTAGCAGTCTTACTTGCTTACGCTTGTTACCCGTCGTAGAGAAAAAAACCCACCGATCAGGAATCTCCAACCTACATTTTTATAGGCTGTCCTTTCCAATTTTTGCTAAGTGCTGTTCATTCTTTTGGTATCTGCCTCCAATCAGGTTGAAGATTGTTGCTCTTGGATCTTCACAAAAAGTTCAAAACATGGAAAACTCAAAAAGCTAATTGCAAAATGCATAAAACATATTCTTTTCGCTCAATACTCCTTGCATCTGGATTGGTCGAGAATCTGCTTTACTTTCTCAGTCATTTTACTAGTCGCTGGAAAGGTTGTCAGTAAAGTATACTTTCACTGTCAACACTTCATTTGTTTATTGTTGGCGATGAACTTTCTTGTTATTTCTTTGACTATTGGTGATTATTTTACTATGTTGACGACCTCTTCTTTGTCGTGACTTTTTTCCCTGTACACATTTAATTGTTCAATTGATTGTTTTTTTTTTGTTAGACATAAAATTGATGTTGACAAAACTGTTTTTGAAAATAATGATGAGAATGACGATGATAATTGTTCGGTTTCAACAAATTCTTGTCCAACTATCACCAGACTAAATAATTCCTCTTCAACATGCTGTCATCAATGTAGAGAAAACTGTATTCGTATGAAAATTTTAAAAGATGTACGAAATCAGGTAATATACATTGATGCATATTTACTTTTTATATTTAACAATTTAATGTACTGACGATTCATCTCTTATTCATGTAAATAACGAGTTTAACAAAAACATAAATTGTTACAGTCTTATAGAATTCATTATTGATTTAGTCATTTTCCCAATTAATATATTCATATTTCGCTTTACAGATTTGTTTCATACAAAACTAAGTAATCCAGCTATTTTCTGTAATTATTTCTATCGTAGATAGGTTCATACACTATTTGTCCCCTCATGATCCTAGAGCGCATGTGCACCATCGGTCTGAAACCAAGGTTACCCTACTTCTCGGTACCCATCAACCTGGTTTAAACGTCGGACATCTGCTTTCCGTAAACAACACAGTCGATGCGAGAAGGTAGTAAATAGGACTTCCCTGGCGGTGGCTATCTATGTGAGGCCATATAAGAGCATTTCTTTCCCCACCACTGGCCGTATCTGGACATTTGGGGGATATAATATGAATGTGTAACTGGTGCATTCAGAATCGTTGGTTTGAAGGTTTTTTCAGTGAATATTTATTTCCCAAGTAAAGTTACTTTAATTCCAGATTTTCGGTACCAAATAACGATTTTGTAGAGATTGCTTATTATTTTGTTTATTTCATTCTGAGTTATTAAGTCAGTTTGAAATTATATTTCGCTGCGTTCCACTTACTTTATTTGGCTGAACCAATTTGTACATATTTCCTCAAGTGTAAGCACCACTCAAAGACATCGATATTCGTAATTATTCACCTGCACTAAAATCAATCATTCTCCATTTAACTTTTATCATTCCCAGCAAAATAAATTATCTCAAGAAGTCAGTCAATTAAAACAACAATTTTCAGAAATTCAAACTGTTTTAGTATCTATCCAAAATATTCTAATTAATCGAATTCATCTTCAGTCTTCATGTACAACAACAACGTCTTCTGTATATTCACATCCTTTAAATTCATCCATTTATCTGTGTAATAATAAAAATAATACGTCTATATTTTCACCAATTAATCCAATGATAAATACGGAGTTGTCTACCATTGACATTTGTTCAGCCAGTTTTCCATTGAACAATGTACATAATACTAAAATTACTCATAATCAATTACCTACATCAGACAATCTTAATTATGTGACTAACATCAGTTCACCATCATACTGTACATCAACAGCGGCGACAACACTTCCATCAAGTATAATCTACAATCCTTCCACTCTGTCTACATCTTTTATGCCTTTAAAAATTTTAACAAACCCATCATCATCAGAAAACTTACCGATTTCACCTTCAAATATTTCATCTTCACCGTCAGTTTTATCTGTACTTCATGGTTCAGTTCCTTCATGTATTCCGTTGTGTATGAATTCAAAGATTCCATTGGGTATGTTATTTTAATATATTTTCTTCTGATGTATGATTGAATTTGCGTTTTATGGTTTATATCATGTGTTTGTTTTTCATTAAAACCATGAACTGATCTAAGTTAGACCACCATTGAAAACATTATAGTACTGGAAGGTCGTCGCAAATATCCTATTTTTAGACTTTTCTTTGTCGGTGGTGGTGTGGACTATCAATTTTTCTGATCATTAATATTTTATTTAACTCAATTTCAGTAGTAAAATTCACTCAATGCACGCATCCCTATGATTTTTCCATAGATCTATTTCTTCAACCTGTGATTAACTTCATTCCATGTTACTGGACTAATCGTAGTCTCTAAAGACTGGCAATAATATCTGTTCTGTAATGGTATTTATACTTGTTTATTCTTTCTAAGCTGACCTGTTGCAGCTTAATGAGAAAAACGATTATATCTACTGGGGTCTCCGGTCGACTTACGATATATTTGCGAATGATCGAACGATTAAGCTGGTCTAGTGCGAACGATAACACCAGTTTAGATACAACACTTTAACAATTGGCTGCTAACACAAAAAACGATGAGCTGTAGAAAAAAATTGATATTCAAGCAGATTAACCTCAAATAGTAAAAGCCACTATATATAGTAACGAATGCATGAACTTCAAGTACACAAAGAACTAGCAAACTAAAAGTAGTGACAACCAATCAGTAAAGGGCAAAGGTCGTGCAAAACATTGAATTAAAGAAAAGTGGTTATTGTTGCTAGTAAGAATAAGATTATTACGAAAAATTGAGCGATCTCATGATTACCCCAACATTACTCGACCATATTTATTGATAATTATCTCACTTGAATGGTATGTTACAATAAATAGTTTCATAGTTTGTGAGTTTGAGCCTTTATAATGTCTCGGATAAACTCAGCTATAGTTATCTGACTTTGTTTGTATGTTGAAATCAATGATAATATCGTTCAATATTAAATGGTCCTCATATATTATTTATCTAAGCAATCCAATGACTCGTTTGGTTGATGTATTATGATACCGGTGGTCGCATTTAATTTTGTAGTTTGTACACACTAGTCTTGTCTTCCATTGACCTCCTGGGTGCAACATTCTATCGAAGATTTTAAATACACCGATAAATTATAATAAAAAAGTTTATCTGTGGGTTAAAATAGTTATTTTGTTATTCCACTCCATTGGTAAGCCATTTCCACTAAAATTAATTGAACAATTCTCTAATTTAATTACTAAGATTACGTTTCCTATGTTTTGCAGTTGTCGAGCTTTACTAAACATTTATCCGACTACAAGTTTAACATGTTCTTTTGAGTAACTTGACTATTACTATTGTAGTTCAAACTTTCATGTATAAATAGATTTACTTTGTCAATCAATACATTTTTGACAATAGTTTCATCGTTGTTATTTTTTCTAATATCTCATAGACTGAAAACGATGTCTTTCTAACTATACTACTTGTTAGAAATCACTAAACTAGTATCTATCACATAATAATTCCAAATTTCACATTTAATTATCGGAATTACACCTGACTACAATTCTTTTTGATTGACTGACATGAGCTTGTAAGCAATTTGTTAAGCACAATAATATGGTCTCTATTAGACTGAATTTAATAGTTATTATATACTTTCACCATGTGTTTACTTCTTACTGAATGTAGAAAGAAATATTCGTAGTTAATATAATGAACTGATTTCAGTTAGACTACAAACTAACATCAGGATCCACTGGAGATCTTTTTTTCAAGTATATGGGACTCCTCAGTTCAACCCAGGCCCAGTAGTCAAGAGGCTAAGCACTTGCGCACGTGGGGCCTAAGGTCTTGGGTTTGGCTTTCCTCGAGGTCGTAAATGTGCACGTGTGAGGATTTCTGTAGCAAGATGAGACAGTTGTACAGTGCTTCTTGGTTTTCTGTGGTGACTTAAATGAGATCAGTCCTTTCTCCAAACTATGAAATTTCACCATTCTCCACAAAACCTCTATACTAATAATAGTAATATTCAATGTTTTTGTAATTAAATTGAGACCAGTTATCGTGAGAATTTTAATTACATTGAGTGGTGTAATTGTTTATTTTGGAATGTTTTTTATTCTCCTTTCTTCTTGAGCAGGACCTGACATATCCATATATATATATATATATATATATATAGAGAGAGAGAGAGAGAGAGAGAGAGAGAGAGAAACTATAAACTCAGACTATTGATGTTAATGGTCGCCTAGCGTAAAAAAGTAGAGAATATAGCTCAAAATGAATCAGAATAATGCCAAGATAAATTATCTTTAAAGATTTGGGCTATTATCAGGGGTTTTAATCATATACTACTTTGACCATAAAGGTGACACCTCATAATACAGCCATATCTTGTTCTGGTCCCTCCTAGTCTATTAGTATGCGAAACACATGTCTCAACTACTGGCCGTCGATGAATTTTCATAACCTTATACCACGATATACCATCTCTGTCTGACACTTTACAACTAGATATTATGCCTTATTGCGTAATTTCAGCAATAATATAAAGTAACGCTCCAAGGGCACCTATTTTATTTGTAATATACACAGTTTTACTGACATTTTTTCAACTACAACCAACAGCTTGTTTAACATAGAATTGAGTTTCTGAAATTAACAGATGGGAATAATAATAATAATAATTTGTATTTTTTGTTTACATTGAACGAACCCGAAAGAACTCCAGTTTTGATAGGAATATTTTAGTTGCTTTATTACCTATTCCATAAATTAGAAGGAATCAATTCATTTCCTGTCCATTATTTCTTTATAAAGTCATCCTAGCATCGTCAATGATAATCTCCAAAAACCAATGAATAACAACTACTCAGAAGAAAAAAAAATAACTACCACTAATTTTCTTATTTTCTAGAAAAAATGTCAGTTATTGATGGTTTATAAATTAATTAGTTGATTAATTTGTGCATAGCTACACGCACACATATACATGAATACTAAACGAGAGAGAGAGAGAGAGAAAATAATACTGTTCTTAAGATCAATATTTTTCCGATTTCGTACAGTATTCTATTCCATTTTTATTGTATCCATGTATGTGTGCGTGTATGTATGTTGTTTATCATTATTGATTTTCATCTCAGATAATATGATGATATTAATAATGATAAAGGTAATGCACATCAATTATAGATTTTATTATTGAAATAGAAACGTACATTATTGAAATGCTTCTTCTCTTCACGTATATCTAAGTGTATTCATGCACGATTATGATTGCCGTTGTAATATATCAATGAATTGGCACCTACCTACCTATACTTGGAATTGTATTCATGTCCGATTCATATTGATTAATCGACTATTTTAATTAATAGGTAATTAGGTAAAATGGTGATATTTCATTAAATTAGTTGCTTTTTGTAATTCTAAGTGTGTTTTATCGGAAAAAAAGAAAACAAACTAAAGATAGAATAGAGGATGTACATAAGGAGATTGATTCAGCTCACATAGTTATTAATTTAAATATAAAGATAATGAGGTGGTAGGTGATCACTAATTAACACCACATATTTGTAAACGCTTGTTTTTAAATAGAAAAAACCTTAACTTACATTATACTGTTCTTGTTGTTGTACAAAATATACTATTGTATCGGCTTAATTGACCTGATCAAAAAATTACTGATTATGACTGAGATGTTAGATGAATGATAATATCTCCTTGAGACTGATCTCCCAAAATCCTGATTGTGAATGGTTTTCAAAAGACAGAACCACTATTCAATTGATCACGTCTGTAAATTATATAATATTAGAAACTAAACATAATATTTCCGTTTTGGTTGAAGGAGACTCAGTTTAATGCATAGGTTGTACTGGTCTCAGTTGAGATACCATTTTGATAATGATAACTCCATATAAGTAGGATTAGGGAAGACTGGACTTTATAGGGGAAAAAGTTCTCCGCATGACCTTGAAAAGGAGAAATTAATAGGAATTGGTCAACTGAATTTGGTGTTGTATGATTGTTGTTACAATTTCCGTAGCTCATGGTCGCAATGTTTTAAAATAATGATAAGTTTGCTTTTGAAATAACCTCCTGTATTATTTTTATTTTATTTAAAAGTTCCCAAGTTAATCCATTAAATACCGTCCTTAGTTTGGTTTAGCCCAAGAAAGAAGAGGATGATTTATCGAATACATTTTTTATTTGAAATCTAATTAATGAACTAATCTTTATAATTGCTTCTTCAGAACTCATATCTCTCACTATATAGAGAATGTTTAATTCATGTGTTTCTTGTTAAAAATTTTACCTTGATTTGCTCTGTCGTTCAACAAAAAAATTGATCATAACTATTTCTCACTTTATAATTCCAAGTAGAAAATACTATCAATTCAATCGTAAGTCGTCCACAAACCAATCGAACTTTGACTGATTCAATGTCAATAAGTCAAATGCATTATATCCCTTTAAATGAACAAATTAATTTGCTAACAACTTTTACTGCTACTACTGCTACTACCATTGCAACGCAAACTGGCGCGACTGAATCTTATCCTCCTATTTTATTGGTAAACTCACTGGGTCCTGGATATTCGCAAACCACAACATGTCTATCAACAACTTTGACCAATACTACCTCAACAGATCCACCTATATCCTCAACCTCTACTGTTATATTGTCCCATAATGATGAGTGCATTTCACTGAGTCATTCAGGAGCAGTTGTCAACTGTATAGATGAGAACATCGATCCATTAGACAGTCCTACATCTATTGATTCGTCACAACAGTTTACGATAGATCAAATTGAACCATTGAACACTTTTGAAATAGCCGCTACAGTTAGAGATCTTCTTACAAAGCATAATATTTCACAACGCCAATTCTCTAGGCATATACTTAAATTAAGTCAAGGTACAATGAGTGAATTATTGTCTAAACCGAGACCATGGTACAGATTAACTGCACGTGGTCGAGATTCTTATAGACGATTGCAAGCATGGATATCGGATCCAAATAATGTGAATAGTTTAAAAAATACTCAACGTAGACGAACCGGTAGGTGTATTATTACATTTGTGTCTAGTTAATATATTTATCTACAAAACCTAGGATTCAATTAAATGTATCTGAATCCATGAATAACATATATTGTATTTATTGTTCACTTTCAAAACAGCTGTAGTTTTATTACTCATATGAAAGTATGACAGTTTATATTCCATTATGAACCGATAGTTTGTTGGTTAAACCGCTTAAATTTCAGCTAATACGTTCCAAGTCCGAACCCTGTTCCGTCTCTTTCAGTTTGGACCGGTCGAGTACACCAGCTTATACTTGAGGTTGAGTTGTTGCATTGATGGGTTGGTGTCTGACGAAATCTCAGCACGGATTCGGAAAGCTCGTTTGGCTTTTGCCAACTTATGTCACCTATGGCGAAGGCGAGATATCCGTCTATCAATAAAAGGACGAGTATACTGCGTGGCAGTCCGTTCTGTTTTAATTTACGGCAGCGAAACACGGCCATTAAGAGTAGAAGACACTCGTAAGCTATTAGTATTTGACCACATATGCCTTAGAAATATTGCTGGCGTCTGCTGGGATCACCGGGTAAGTAATAGTGAGGTTAGACGCAGGGTATTAGGAAATGATGGTAAGTCAGTTGATGAGGTTATGAATCTTCATCGACTGAGATGGTTGGGCCACGTGTTACGTATGCCTGAACACCGATTACCACGACGTGCAATGCTATCCGGTATTGGAGATGGTTGGAAGAAAGTTAGGGGCAGCCAAACCAAAACGTGGCATCAGTGCTTGAAGTCACTAACTTCTAGTCTGAGCCATGTTGGTAGATGCAGACTACTTGGTTGGGGTCCGCGTGACTATTGTAACCAATGGTTGGAGACTCTTGGTGACATGGCTCAGAATCGATCACAATGGCGTTGGTGTATACACTCGCTGTCTTCCCTTAAACTAAGAGATTAAAATCGCTTCATACCTTTCTTTCTACGAACCAATTTTTTCTTCTTGTACTATATCTCTATATGCAATCTTTCTCATATATATTACCACCTTTGACCTAACCACTGCTATAAATCCGGTGTTGATCTTGTTGTGCTGATGCGGTATGGCAACCTGGACCGATGCACATATGTGCCTGGTCCTACGTTGTAGCTGACTGACTGTTGCATTGATGTTCTGTTGGTCTACTGGTAATAAGATTTTGTCGCTTCCTAGAGACAGATTTCAACAAGTCATATTAAACTAGATCTTATTAATATTTTTGGTAGTTTAACTATCTGTAGCAATACTGTTCTCTCAAAACAAGAGGAATCGACCCTAGAGATAACACACTTCACCTTGTCTCACAGATTTTCGTTACCATCGATAAGGCCTTGAAAGTACAGAGTTGACATATCTAAAACTACTCACGAAAACGCCATATATGACTAACCTCAAGCAGCTGTTATTTAGGCACTGATATCATACTCTCAGGTTGTCGAAATTACTCCTAACCGAGTCCTCTTTTCAGATACATCAAAAAGTATCCTTCCATAGTATGGGCAACCGGGAATTGACAACCATTCACGCATTTTTAACAACAGATGAGATCATTTCTGCTGTTATGTGAATCAATAGCGTAAAAGTGTGTTATGTTTTAAGAAGGCTCCTTCAAGTTTCATGAATCGTATTCTTTATATGAAAGCTTGTGATACTTGCTCACTACTGTATAATTACCACTGACCTGGATTCGTAATAACTCATTTGATATATTGACAAAACAGAGTTCAATACACGTTTATTAGTTTCAACTTTATATTTATGCTTATTTGCTACAAAAGACTCATTATCTGTTTTTTTCTGCACACTTATAACATTTCCTTCATAATTATTGTTATGTCGCTATTTGTGTTATTGCATTTTCTTGTTTTACCAATACAACTGTAGAGACTACTCAATCTACATGCGAAATTACTAGTTTAAATAATCAACAATCTCTGTTATTTCCTAACTCAAATCCTGTACCAACACCTTATCAAAAGGATTTTTCCCTAACAAAATCTAAATCAATCTCTCCATTTGTCTATCGTAATGATATTGAACCTCTAAGTGTTTTAACTAGTCGACCTGAAAAGACAGAACTTATATATGATCTAGAAACTCAAAAGTCTAACGATTCTCATCATTCTCATCATCACCACCAACAACAAACTAGTAAAGAAACACATTACAGTCATCGCTCTTTGATGAAATCTTCCGAATCAGTTCATCCAGATGAAAATATTGGATCTAAAGAAGAACAAGAAACTGAAAGACGCATTAATCAAATTTTATTAGCTGCTAAAGCGGCAATGGATTATGAGAAACAAATTAAAGCCAATGGATTAACTGAGAAAATTAATAGCGATTTATTTGACAGTACATCAACAATGAAACAGCACCAATCTCCATTGTCAGATTGTCAAATCGGGATTTATAATGATAACAGTCCATCGGTATCTGCTATTAGTATTAGCGATGGTGATTCACAAGTGAGTTTTATTTTGACTGTGAACTATGTTCTTTTGTCCTTAAATAGAGCGCGTTCGTTATAGTTAAACGGGTTACGAACTTGTTAGATTTACCGTAATGATGGCATTTTGTGAGAAATAATAAATAAATGTGAGAAGTTACACCATTGACACATGTCGGCTACAGGTGCTTAATTAATGAGTCCGCAATTCTGTATTCTATTCTTTTGGAGTTGAGTCTTCTCACTTGATCAACTTAGATTTCTACTAGAAACTGGTGTTATTGTGAAAAGAATTTATTCTGCTATTGATACAAAATTAACACTGTATTAATATCACTTTTGTGCGGTTCGTTTGTTCATCATCATGTAAATATATCCAACGATGTCTGTCATTTTATTGATAAGAAATATATAGTATTTCATTTCGCTGTTCATAAGCCATAAAGACTTGTAGTCCCTAATTTATACGTTTCATACAGAATAGATGGATTATGGCTAGGAGTGGAATTCAGAAAGCGCTTTTCATTCTATTTTGGACTCGTTGGCTGGATGTGCCTGCATTCAAGAGTCGATTTTCACTTATTTCTAGTCTTGGAGTGCATACTGACTTTCGGATCCAGGTACATTCAGCTGATGAGTCCCAAATGGGACCAAAAATATATCCTGGGTTACACAGCTAGCCACATTTAATCTATTCTATACTAACTCATATCAAAATTGTACCACCACACTTAAAAACCTTTGGAGCCAATTTATCTAGACCAGCTGCTCTTTCCCGTTTCAGATTAGCTATAGCTTTCTGAACTTCAGCTCGAGTCGGGGGACCTACTTCAATGTTCCATTCATGCTGTCTAGGAGTGGTGGGTAGTTATTGAGTAGCTAAACTGCTCCTTAAAGTGTTTCGCCCGTCGTTTTGAACGTCTGGGCTGAGAGCAGATGAGGGTGTCGTCTTTTTCCGAAATAGTCTTACTTACACTTGACTTATTAATTCCAGTTTCTTTTATTGGTCTGAAGAGCTTTCTGGTGTTACATACAGCCTCTACCTTTTCCATCACTTTTGCTTTCGTTGCCCACCACTAGGTAATCTTTCTTTGATATATTACCACCATTGAGTTAACTGCTTCTATGAATCCGGTGTTCGTCTTGCTGTATTAATGAGGTGTGGCACCTTGAGCTGATGCATATATGTGCCTGGTCCTACGTTGTAGCTGACGGACTGAACTTGTATCATAATGACCATAGAGGCAAGCCGCACAGTATGCACATATGTTAGCCAAGACTGATCAAATTTCAGTCAAAATATCAACAACGAGATAATTCGAACCATTTGAGTTTGAATTGTACGTTTTATGTTCAACATCGTCCTCCCTCAATAGTTTCTTTCAACTAGGCATAAGATCTTTTACACTTTCACTCTATACATACTACTTCATTTGCTGAATATTTATTAAGTAATTTATATAATTTTAAATTGGCTAGATCTCTTAAACTATTTTAATGGGTCGTATATATTTGTTCATTCTGATTCATTCAAATGTCAGTTAAATATTTTATATGTTAATTAGTTTGGTTTTCATTTGAATTGTTTTCACTTATTAATTGATTGCCTTCAATAGTTTACCGTTTCTATGACTTTTAATGAAATAAACCTGTTTCGATCATTCTTAATTTTGTTATTCATATTTATCGTAGACTACTGCTACTACTACTACTACTACTACCAATAATAATAATAACAATAATAATAATAATACCACTGTTACCACTTCTGGAAGTATTATCAACTCTTTTGAATCAACTGTTGCCACTTCATTGATCAATGAAAACAATGCTGTATATCATCATTCCTCATCTTCTCACCTATCACCATATCCTAACAATTTATTAAGACATGGAATAAATATTAGCTCAAATTCTTCTACAGTGTCAAATCACAATAATTCTTTTAATAATGTCAACAATTTATCATGTACTCCTACTGTATGTTATGGTAGCCTTCAAACTTGTCCATCTGTGAATGAAATTACAATCTGTTCAAAATTGCCATCTAGTCAATTGGTAACGTCATCATTACCAGTATGCTCTAATAATACTGTAGTTCATGCTACGCAGCAATCTATGCCAATTATGTCAAATGGAATTACAGTTTCAGATCTTGTGAGTTTATTAATACGTGTGGTTTTCTTTTAACGTACTTTTATCTTACCACAAGGCTAATTATTTCATAATTCTTGTGGAAGGAGTCTAAGTAGTAGTGTATTCGATTACAAAACTGAATGTCGTAAAAGCATAACTCAAAGAGAGAGAATGGATCTCCAGTATTAAATATGTTGTGACTTGGGACATTAATCTATATCACGTGTTAGTCGCCGATCAAAGTTCTGATAATTCTCTACCCTGACGCTTGATAAACTCCTACTTGTCCCAGCATATTCAGTACCCCTCTATCCGTTGCCTCGAGTTTGAAGAGAAGTCAGCAGATAACTTCTGTTACTATTTTATTTCAAACATTCTGGGCTTATATAAACAAACATACCATATCACATTGTACCATAAAAAATGACAAATCATAATTGTACATAAACAAACCAGAAGTGTTTGTGAGTGAAGGAAAGCTGCGAATAATTGATTGGCAATAAAATAAGACTAATAAATGGCACGATAATAGTTAAATAGAAGATAAACCCTATATATATTAGTTCAGTTGCCTAGTAATGATACAATAAGAATATGTATTAGTAATAATAATAATAATAATCTCTATTTTAATTCTGGGAGTTATCACTTCTTTAATCTTCGTTCTGATATATCAAAAAAGTGTGAAGTGATTTTGAGATGTAAGATCCATGGAGAGATTGAATACATCTACCACACCACGACTCTTTTTGAACCATATCATCCAACATCATCTACTGATTATAGTAATTACGTGCACATACGAGTTTGTTCAGTGATCAGTGACTTCATGAGTCAATACCGTCATATAGTGATCTGTCCATGTGCCACTGTTTATGTGAGCTACTGTTATGTATGAGTTGACGTTAGTTTAACATATGTAACACACATCTCATCCATGACAACCGATGAACCTTTCCATCTTTATCAAATGATTTCCGACCTTACCCCAGTATTAATCATCCAGTTGTTCCACTATGTCATGAACGATGATTCGAAATCATCTATAACTCAGTACTAGTAATCTGTGGATTTTTTATTTCGAAGCCCAAGTTTCCTGGCCATAAAGTAAAACAGAGTAGATAGCTGTACAGTATATCTGCTTTTTAATCGGAAAACTTACACCCCCTGCATGACAGGTAGCACAAATCCATGAAGAGTAGGGAAGCGTTTTAAATCTGTCCCAGGATTTCTTCACCCATCAGTACACTTAATTCTTTTCACTTCAATGGTCTTTATGTTAAACAGAAATAGATAACATCAGGATTTTTCTTCTCTTATGACAAGTTTTATTTTTATCTTTATTGTTTTAGTTAAAACTATTTACTACTCAGTTGACGAATAATCCAATCAATTCAAATAAACCAGTCATATTCGACGCAACACTTGATAATAATAATAATTCTCCATATCCTTCAAAAGTACAATCCACCATCACATTACCTTGTGCCTTAAATACTTCAAAAAATGTAACCAATAATAATCAAAATATTCTATTCAATAGTAATCTTCCATTATTGGCTAACTCATCATCAATCTCTTCACCTTATTCCATCAATAATACTATTATTAAACAAGATGATTGTGCACCGATATATACACCACTTCGAACAACAATAACTACTACAACACCAGTCATAACTAATGAATTTCCGATGCCTATATTATCTCCATCAATAATTAAATTAAATAATCACCTACCGATCCCACCTTTAGGTATTCAACCTGTATCAACACCATTATTCTCACAGACATCTACTTCTACTTCTCTGTCGTCATCACCCATGTCCTTACAACAAACTTTAATGCTTTTGGCGTCAGCAGCAACGGCTAGTGTTCCGTTGAAAACTCCATCAACATTAGCGAATTCAGAGCATATTAATATGAATCAATGGAATCATGAAGATTCAAACACTGCAACTATAAATGCTCCGGCTACTATTACTACTAATACTACGACCACTACTGTTCCATTGTTAACTAATAATGATACAGTTCACCATCATAATCCCTATGAAACAGCTGATGATAATTTATCTGATTCAAGTTATATCAATAACACGATGCTTTCACTTCAAAGAGTGGTACTTCCTCCTTTGAAACAAGAAGATATTGATAAGTACAGTGAATTATCTACTGAAGAGATAACTCATCGTACTCGCTCAATTCTTTCTCAGTATTCTATTAGTCAAAGACTTTTTGGTGCATATATACTTGGTAAATTATTTTTTATTTAAAATTTTTTATCCAAATGTTTCTTATATATATATATATATATATATATATATATATATATATATATATATATATAATTTTCGGTAAACAAATGTTAAGATGATAAATCGGTTGATGAGTTACTGAATCCTCATCGACTGAGGGTGGTCTGGACGTGTATGTCGTATGCCCAATAACCTCCTAACTCGATGCGTGATATCTGCTAGAGCGGTAGTAAGTTGAAAGAAAAATAGGGATAGACCAAGCCAAGACGTGCCATCGCTCTATGAAGTCACTGAATTTGAACTAAGCGGTGTAGGTAGGTTGCGATTTGACCGCTTGCGGTCCGCGCGATTTTCGTACCCAATGATTGATTGTGTTGAATGACGACTCAAAATCCGTTGCAATAATAGCCCAGATGCGTCCACTCTTTTTCTTCTCTTATTTATTGACTTTTTAAATTATTTTGTACCTTTTTGTTATGCGAATTCTTGAACTTCATTGTCTCTATCCAATATCTACAAGCACTGGTACTGTTATTACTATAGTACTTTGTGAACACTACTAGTCGAGTCAGAGCTTATGGCGAACTGTCATCTACTTTTGCAACCTCAAGTGGTGTCCGTCAAGGCTGTCCACTTTCCCCATTTTTGTTTAACTTCATCATAGATCTACTGATGGAAATAACTTTCTCGTCGACTGAGTTCTCGGGTATTGATCTCCATCCAGGAGGTCCACTTATCGACTTAGAATACGCAGATGACATAGTCCTGTTTGGTGAAGACGCTGATAAAATGCAGAGTCTTCTGGTAGCACTGAGCATCAATGCCAGAATGTTTGGAATGCGCTTCTCTCCCTCTAAATGCAAGTTGTTGCTTCAAGACTGGTCTGCGTCAACACCTGAACTAAGGATAGGGAGTGAAGTAGTCGAACGCGTTGACAACTTCACTTATCTTGGATGTCTGATCAGCCCTAATGGGTTGGTGTCTGACGAAATCTCAGCACGGATTCGGAAAGCTCGTTTGGCTTTTGCCAACTTACGTCACCTGTGACGAAGGCGAGATATCCGTCTATCAATAAAAGGACGAGTATACTGCGTGGCAGTCCGTTCTGTTTTAATTTACGGCAGCGAAACACGGCCATTAAGAGTAGAAGACACTCGTAAGCTATTAGTATTTGACCACATATGCCTTAGAAATATTGCTGGCGTCTGCTGGGATCACCGGGTAAGTAATAGTGAGGTTAGACGCAGGGTATTAGGAAATGATGGTAAGTCAGTTGATGAGGTTATGAATCTTCATCGACTGAGATGGTTGGGCCACGTGTTACGTATGCCTGAACACCGATTACCACGACGTGCAATGCTATCCGGTATTGGAGATGGTTGGAAGAAAGTTAGGGGCGGCCAAACCAAAACGTGGCATCAGTGCTTGAAGTCACTAACTTCTAGTCTGAGCCATGTTGGTAGATGCAGACTACTTGGTTGGGGTCCGCGTGACTATTGTAACCAATGGTTGGAGACTCTTGGTGACATGGCTCAGAATCGATCACAATGGCGTTGGTGTATACACTCGCTGTCTTCCCTTAAACTAAGAGATTAAAATCGCTTCATACCTTTCTTTCTACGAACCAATTTTTTCTTCTTGTACTATATCTCTATATGCAATCTTTCTCATATATATTACCACCTTTGACCTAACCACTGCTATAAATCCGGTGTTGATCTTGTTGTGCTGATGCGGTATGGCAACCTGGACCGATGCACATATGTGCCTGGTCCTACGTTGTAGCTGACTGACTTTGTCAATACTAATGTGATGCACCAACTTGAATCGTTACGCATACGTGCCTGATTTCATGTTGCTTATGACTGACTGATGAGTAAACATTTATAAAAATTGGATTATGGTGAAAACATACTGTATACTAAGATAGTGTATAGTTTTAGTTTTTATTAGAAACTGCTGACAGTTGAACAACCATTAAAAACTAATGAAATATACTTGTTTCGTCATTATTTGGTTAGTACTCAATAGTAAGTATACCTGAATCCACATGCCATCAATACACAGGAATCATTATACCAATGTTATATGATGTTATCTATATGTTCACAACAGTCAGTTTATGTTTTAAAAAAATCCATCCAAAGTGTACGTTTTGTATGGTATTTTAGTTATCATCTTCGATATTAGGTTGATAGTCCTTCAAAGCAGAACATATCTCAATCAAAACAGTTTGTTATCGTTCTGTATCGTCATAATATTATTGAGCTTATTCACTATCGTAACCAATGTTTGGAGACTCCGGGTGTCAGCTCAGAATCGATCACAATAGCGTATATGTATACACTCTTCGTCTTCCCTTAAACTGTGAGACTAAAATTGCTTTATATCTTTCTTCCTGTATCATATCTTTATATGAAATGTCGTTTTTTACTATCATTGAAGTATCTGCTTCTGTGGATTCGGTGTTCACCTTGTTGTGCTAATAAGTTGCGGCAAATTGACCCCCTAATGCCCTGATTCGACCGAAGGTGGTGAGAGTCAGCTCTCCCTCTCGAAATACTCTCACATGGCAACGCGTATACAGCCACTGCCAGGGAAGTCCTACTCACTGCCTTCTCGTGACGGGGGTGTTGTTTACTAAATTGAGAGGACAAAAAGCGGATGTCCGAATTGCTGAAAATGGAGGGTACACCTAGGGGAGTTGGAAAACCTGATTCCAAAGCAATGGTTCACATGGTCTCCAGGATCCTAAGGAAACAAATGGCGTATGAACCTATTGCTAGTCACCGGCTGCCATGGGACTGCATTTCCTGAAGTTGATCCACTGCCTTATAGATCAGACCTTCAGGTCAAAGGCTCCGAGTGCGGCTGCCTAGTAAAACCACCTGCTTCGGTTTGGGCACCCGGGCAGTATCACAGCCCACACACCAACCAAGTGATTGGTGTGGCACATATGTATTCGGTTCCCCTTTGTATCAATATTTATGTTTTCAAATAAATAGTCGTAAATAACTGTCTGATTAGTATCAATTGGCTTCAAATTTATTTGGTTTCCTGGATTTGTTTCTGGTAATCAGCTCAACTAATAATGATAATTTGTTGTTTGGTTCCATTTGTAATATGGATTTCATATAATCAGTGACGCTGTTCAAGTTGTAAACACACAAAGTCTTTACAGTCAGTATTATGCAAGACAAATGTCGTTCACAAGATAAATTGCTATAACCGCGGCAAACACTGCGTCATATAAAATTTCCATCCTTTCCGTCTGCGTCTACATCGACACCAGCTTTCTGTTGAACGCCGTGACATATCCTCACTTATATCAATGAATGCGGACAATTATGTACATGAATTCGACTAGGAGCGATCCCTTAGTGGTTAATTTATTCAATTTTCAGTCACTAGGTTCAGGGTGTAAAACCTGGTCCACCTACTTCGTTTTTGGCAACCAGGCAGTACCACGATTCCTCACACTTGATTCAAAACAAAGGGCACGAATTTGTACCTAGTGTGTTGCAAACGCGGCTGGGGAATATGGAACACTTAGATGGATAAAATATGAGAAAGATTAGAGAATTTATGTGGCGTTACACTAAGGTCACTCGTCGATCGACAGACAATACGAAAAATGACAAACAAATGCTATATCAAAGTTCAGATCAGTGGAAGAGACCATGACTATCAACGTGCAAACAATTACAAAACAATATATACAATAAGCGATCATATTTCATGTTAACAGAATAAGTTGCTGATGAATTACAGAGCAATTTTACTAACTGATCACTTTGTGAAATATGTGTAGATAGTCTTGTTTAGATAGAAATTTAAAGCTTTACTATTAAATCATCCAACTTAGAGCTCACAATACCTTCAAACTCCATCTTAACAACAAATATGCAGAAATGAAACAATGGCTTAATAGTTAAATTATTCGCCTTTCATTTAATAGATCTCAAATTGAATATCCTCTATTTATTCTCCGATTCACCTTCATAAAAACAATGTCTCTCAGAGCTAATGTCATAAACCTGAATTTGGTAAATGATCTACATACTAAAAAAATCATTTAGTCATATTGTCATTAAAAATTTTTTAATGTACCTCTATTAAATTGTACTGAACCTTTATACCCTAATTTTGGCCTAGCTTAAGTGTTAATAATACTTTCATACTTCTTGCTCTTACATCAAGGTTTATCTCAAGGAAGTGTTTCTGATCTATTGGCCAGACCGAAACCGTGGAAATTACTTACACAAAAAGGTCGTGAACCATTTATAAGAATGCAGCTATTTTTAAATAATCCCGACCATATAATAAAATTGTTACAATCATGTAAGTTCTTATATGTGTATATAGCTCTTTCCCTCCTTTTTCTCTTATCCTATACTGTTATGGTATTTAAATATTTACATTTAGAAAGCTACTATTATTACCACAAAACTATGTCAGATAGTCATCTTAACATTTTGCAAGTAAATGGCATTATGAACTGATAACGCAGTCAATTGGTGAATCATTGAAAATCGTCATTTCCTATTGCTCTTTGGAAAAAGCAGATTACTAAAATCTACACAAAACCACTTCACTTGATAAAACAGAAAAAAAATTCATTCCTCCTTTCAAACGCTAAATGTTGCTTCAGGACCGGAATGCATCAGCGTGTGAATTAATAGTGGGGAGTCGAGTAGTTGAGCGTATCGACCGCTTCACTCATCTTGAATGTCTCATCAGTCATGATGACGGAGATAGTGGATCTCCATGTACTGAGGTGGTTGTGACATTTATTACGTATCCCCAACCACCGCCTACCTGGATGCTCGGTGATTCACGATGTAGGAGTAGGTCGAAAGAACTCTAGAAGCGGCCAAATAAAGATATATCAGTTCATGAAGTCATTGGAAATGGCACTAAACCATACTAACAGGTGCAGACTGCCTGGTTGAGTTGCAAGTGATTATCGCAACTGATGGTTAAAGACTTTGAGTGACACGGATCACAATGGTTCTCAATCACACAAAGTGGATTCACTCTTTGTCTTTGGTTAACAGTATAAAATATTTATAGTCTGGATCTATTCGTAACACGGGTCAGATTCCATTCTCTGCAATACACTAATATATGTTCGATCTGTGAAATTAGTATTATTTTTAACGAATAGATAAGTAAATGATGGTAAAATACTATTTCATTGGATAATATTCATACTAGGATAACCAGTATGAATTTATCGTTTACCCCAGTCTGTTAGCTAATACTCAGATATGATCATACTACTACAGCTACTACTACTACTACTACTACTACTACTACTACTACTACTACTACTACTACTACTACTAATAATAATAATAATAATAATAATAATAATAATAATATTATAATAATAATAATAATAATAATGGTGATATTAGTAGATTCTGCGTATTGATTATTGTTAGTAGTATTATAAGTACTAGTATTAATGTGACTCTTTGATATTGATTTTAGTTCATTTTTCTGACAATTGGTAAATGTGATCAGAGTTTTTAAAAAAAGAGATAAATATACTGTACAATGTTAATTGATTCTGTTTATTGGTTCATGTGTGTGTGATATCAGTCGTATTTTAGTCGTTGATTAATGTATTAGAAATGATTTTGATATGTTTTTTCCATTATGATTTTGTTTATAGTTTAATCACAAAACTATATTTATCAGATTGTCTATTTCATAGTGGAAGCACTGTTGTTATTGTTTGCATCTTCACATGTTAAACATGATACGTAGCATGGTGTTTGGAATGGTGATTCAGTGATTAGGGCACTCGACTTTCAGCCTCTAGGTCGCTTGTCTAAATCCCATTTCTCTAACTTGGTATGAGGGAATAGGGTAATATCACTAGACCTTATCTTTTAAAATGTGTCTCGAGGCTAAGTACACGAATTTGTCAACCGGATAATAACTCAGTACTTACAATATCATCGTATTTAGGTCTAATAGATTGTTAAAATCTTTCTTCAAAAAGTGTCCACAAACCCTAAATGCTAGAAATACACATTAGATGTTCATTCTACATTATTAACTCAAAAAGAATTCAGTAGAACTAAATAAGATTCTGAATTAATTTATTTCAATCAAGTACAGTTGTGTAAGCGCTACTCAGACGCCCCACAATCGTAGTATTTCTCGACCTTAAGGTGGCATTTGACTCTGTTGATCGTGAGATCCTATGGCAGAGTTTGTCACTGAAAGGAGTACCAAAGAAGTACATTAACCTTGTAAATGCTCTCTACTCCAACACAACCGGTCAAGTGAGAGCTTATGGCGAACTGTCATCAGAATTGATTACCTCGAGTGGTGTTCGTCAGGGCTGTCTACTCTCTCCATTCTTGTTTAACTTTATCGTAGACGTGCTTTTAGGGATAACACTTTCCTCATCTACATTTCCAGGGGTTGAACTTTTACCAGGAGATTTACTTTTTGACCTAGAATTCTGCCGATGACATAGTTCTATTTGGTGAAGACGCTGACAAAATGCAGAGTCTTCTGACTACTCTAAGCAACACTGGAAGCATGTTCCGGATGCTATTCTCCCCCTCGAAATGCAAAATGTTGCTTCAGGATTGGGTTACATCCACACCCGAACTAGTGATAGGGAGTGAAGTAGTTGGGTGTATCGACCGCTTCACTTATCTTGGAAGTTTCATCAGCCCTTGTGGTCTGGTGTGTGACGAAATCTCAGCAAGGATACAGAAGGCTCGACTAGCTCTCGCCAACTTGCGTCATTTATGGCGTAGGCGAGATATCCGTCTATCAACCAAAAGACGTGTTTACTGCGCAGCACTTCGTCCCGTCCTACTTTATGGCAATGAAACATGGCCGGTAAGAGTAGAGGATATTCTTAGGTTACTAGTATTCGATCGTAGATGTCTTCGAAGCATTGCTCGTATATCCTGGGACGGTCGAGTAAGTAATGTAGTTGTTCGGAAATGGGTACTAGGTAAGGATGGCAAATCAACTAATGAAGTTGAGATGGCTGGGACACGTGTTACGTATGCCCAACGACCGACTGCCTCGATGTGCGATGTTCAATGGTATAGGAGTAGGTTGGAAGAAAGCTGGGGTCGGCCAGACCAAAACATGGCACAAGTTTATGAGTCACTGACAAGTGAACTGAGTCATGTTGGTAGGTGTAGACTACATGATCGGGGACCGAGAGGTGATAGCAACTGATGGTTAGAGACCCTGAATGACATGGCTCGAAATCGTTTGCAATGGCGCAGGTGTATCCACTCTTTGTGTTCTCTCAAATTCTAATCTTCTGAATTCTTCATGCCCCTTTCTTATTTTCTCTTTCCAAATTTATTTCACTGGATTATACTCCTTGAATAAAATCTTCAAACCCTAATTTTTCTGATTACTGTTTATACTCTCACTACGGGATTTGAATCGACCACTGCATCTCTGTGCTAACGTGGTATGGCAACTCGAACTGATGTATCTACGTATGAAGTTCTATGTTGTTACTGACTGTATGCGCTACTTTTATCTATGTTAGCGCTTTTATTAAAGTATTGTAGCGAACGAAAACACAGGCGGAGACAACGAAATGCATTTAGATACAAAATCACAGAATTTCTTAATAAAATCTGAGAACTACATGGTGAATACTTCATTTGCAAAATTTGTTGTTCGTTTGTTTGCATACCAAACACTCTGTTCTCGTTCTCTTTTCATCGGTTTTCTTAACATTCTGCCACCAAACATTTAGCTTTCGATTGGTGATACACACTGCTTATATCTGTCGACATCAGTTGCTCACACCACAGTGTAATTAGAAAAAAAAAACAGAATTAAACCACTCCTCTGTGGACATGAAGTTAATTGTATGGATTAATGTAAAGTATTACAGTAATAATTGCTCATGTAAACTCGATATTAGTTGATATAATCTAATGCCAAACAACAACAAACGTGACTAGCAACCAATATCCTTTTTCGATATTAAGTTATGCGATCATGTTACAAAAAAAGAGTAAATATACCTAAATATCATTGAAAGTACAATCGAGTGTAGAATAGAAGTGTAATTTTCTTATACATCCATAAAAATTAATTCTTGCTTTTTACATCAATCATTTACCACCTGAATTACCCAGATAATGTTCAAACTCTATTCAATAAATAAAAAAATCCCATTTATTTGATTCGACAATAAAGAGTGTAATCAACATGAAGTAACAAACCTGCCTTCTATGTTTTTCACTATTTATCAACGTTGATGAAAAAAACTCAGAAGGAACCTATATAATTTATTTGACATCCGAATACTCTCTTCGCTCTTCAAACATCATAACCAAGCTTAAATTAGTGCTGAATTATTGTAATTGTAACGGTATGATGTTTTTTCATTATTGATAGTTTTAATTTCAATTAACCAAAACTGTCTCCGCTAATTTCTTGTTCATCTGTTATTTTTTAACTTGTCACTTGTAAAAAAAATACCCAAAATAAGCTCATTCCAGCTTCTGTTTCTTTACACTCTTCTACTCAATAATTACTTTCCAATGGATCAATAATTGTATGTGAATCCACAGTTGTTGTTGGTAGTAGTAATGGTAGCAATAGTAATACATATATTCCATCGAATTCCAATGTTTCTCCTAATCCCGCAGTCATGAACCAAAAAAAGTTTATTGTTCAATCTGAACTTCCCTGTTCATGTGATAACAATTTTAAATTAATAAGTCAAAAATGCCTCATTCATCCTTATTGGGTTTGTTTCGAGTTTTGAAAAAAACTTAAGTTTTGTTTTAAGTTTATATAAAAATGGAAATGATTTTTTATTAGATACACTGAATTTAGGATATTACTTACTCAAAACATAATGAACTATAATGCAGATTTATGTCATTCTAGCTTTTAATGCTTTCCCCCTTCAAAACTGAATTTAAGATAAAAAGTTCTAGGATTTATTGTCGCATCACAGTTAATTATAACACACTAAAAACCAGAATTGTGTGTGCACAAACGACTGGTACAACCCCTTTTTCTAACATGGTCCTGATGTCTTATAATTTTTTTTGTTTTTCTCTTTCTCCATTCTCTTCTCTTTCTTCCTTTACAGCCATCTGCTTCACACCCCCCCCCCATCTTCCCTTTAAATTTTCAACCCCCAATTGGTTCATTTTGTTTCCACGATCATCCTCATTACATTTAATCTCAATTTCAACATAAATCGTATTTAACAATGAACTCAATAATTCTCCAGAGAAATTGACTACCTCAAGTTGTGCTTGGAATTTCCTATTTGTAAACTCAATTTATTTTGGTTTAAAGATCAGCAATCAACTTCCCATTTCTAGTTGAAACCTGGCCGCTACTCAAATGATGTCTTCGCTATGTGCTAACAATTCTTTGGGAGCACTTAGATGCATTTGTCGATTCAAATCCCGTAGTGGTAGAGGGGGTAAAAGTACAAGCAGTGATGGGAAAGATTAGGTTTTGAAGATGTTATTCAAGGAATATAATCCAGTGAAATAAATCTAGAAAGAGAAAAAAAGGGGAACAAAGATTTCAGAAGATTAGAATTTGGGAGAACACAAAGAGTGGATGCACTTGCGCCATTTCAAATGATTTTGAGTCATGTCATTCAAGGTTGCTATCATCTCGTGGATCCCAACCATGTAGTCTACACCTACCGACATGACTCAGTTCACTTGTCAGTGACTTCATGGATTTGCGCCACATTTTGGTTTGGCCGGATCTAGCTTTTTACTGAATACATTCATCATTTGTTAGGCGAACTAAAGTCTTTCTTGAATCACATAGGCCAAAATTTTGCAGAAATCAAATGATCTTATCATATCCGTACCGTGATTTCGAGAGCCATTAACCCCTTCCTTGATAAATGACAGAACAGTCCAAATTCTTTTAGCTTTTCTGCGTCCCAGAAATAGTAATACTTCACACACTATCAAAATGTCAATTTTATTTTCTCTCAGTGTTCTACCCATTAGTAATATATTGTGAAAGGAAATGATGTTGGGACCCCTCAGAAATTTCATATCCAATCTGTACCCGATAGAAACTCCTGGAAAAACGACGGATCATGTATGACACTGACTAATTACCTATTTTGTTACGAAATTTAATGTGTTTTCAGAAGCTTCGAGCTTGTCAAAGCCATACATAAACCTATAAGTATCCGTGTTTTCTGTACTTGAACCAATCTTGAAATAAAGTTTATTCTTTCTCTCATTCGATGCTCAAGTGTTATAGTATTCTAGGCAACTAGGAAGCAGTTAGGAAGTCATTATTAAACGTTCAGCTACCAAATATAACAAATGAGTCAGTCAATCGATAATGGTTATCATTATCATCAAATCTACGAATGTATATATTGATTTGTTTAGTTTAGGTTATTTGTTTTTCTTCTTCATATGATTGTTCATTTCATCTTTCTTGTCAAATGAAAATTGCATTTAAGACGTCGTGCACAAATGTTTATATGTATCCTTGTTCAACCGCGTTTCATTTCTCCCCTTATTTACTTATATTTACAGGTTCTTGTCAAAGTGGAATTATCCACTCAAACCACCAATCTGATATAAACATTAGTTCAAATATATCTATGCAACAGCAGTGTATTGATCAGATAGTACCACCACCATCATCAACAACAACATTTGGAAATGCACTATCGATATTGAATCCTTCATTATATGATTCACAAGCGATGTATTCTGGACAAACTATTGATTGTTCACTATTTGAACCGATTACAAGTCCATCAGGTTCACCTACACCAAATTCTATACAAAATGAATGTTCTAATGAAAATGAAAATGTGTTGCCTCTAAATAATAATAATAATATTAACCAAAATTCTAGCGTTTATCAAAGACCTTCATCGAAGAAAGTCATGGAATTGGCAACATCTTTAACCGATCTGGATACGACATCTATGTGTGGCAAAATAAAAGAGGTGAGATATTTATATCATTGTTAGGAAGAACTAGAATTATCCTGTTATTAATAATTTTGACGGAATGTGTATCAATCTTTGTTGGGACATATGTAAATTGTCAAGAGTTGTTAAAGATAGATGGCTTTGTGACTAGAATTGAAACCTAACACACATTTTTCATTCCACTTCGTACTCCTTAGTTGGATGTGACAAAAGATATATTAGATTAGAATACGGGCGCGAATATTAACTCTTCGGTGTAAGCATACCCAGCTGACGAGTCCCGAATAGGACGAAACGTGCGTTATGGGTTCCAAAACTTGTCACAAACCCACTTGTTTTGTACAAATGGTAAGATAGTTTAGTCGAATGCTTAAGTTATCATTTACTTAAAAATGGTTTGATTCATTCGATTCTCAACAACTGCTTACTTTGACGCACAGTGTTTGCTAGTTTAGGAGTAAATTGAGACAAAGCTCAAGGGCAGTCAATTTAAAAAATATCAATCCATGAAATCATTGACGGTTGAATACAGGTAAGTACAGTCTACCCGGTTGGGGTCCATGTGATTATCGTAAATAATAGTTGGAGACTGATTGGTATGGCTCGAAATCGGTTGGTATTGCACAATTGCATTCACACTTTGCTTTCCCTTAGATCTTGTGTTTTAAAGTTATCTCATCTTTTTTACGTTGTAAATTTACTCTTTCTTCTCGAATCCTAGTATCCATATGCAATATGATTTTCTACTGTAATTGATACTGTTACTACTTCTAATACTCTATCATTTCATTCAACTTGACTGATATGGTGTTTCGGTATGTGCTTATTTACTTATGATTGATTAACTCATTCAGTATTACTATACTATCTGTATCAATTTACATATATTAGCTGACCAATAAATAGTTTGAACAACTACCCCTGATTAATAATTTTTATCTGATTATAAATATTGATGTAATTAGAAATGCTTTTATTGATCATATTGATTGGTTCATTTTATAATCGATCATTTCCAAATTGAAATATTTTAGTTTATTCGTCAAATCTTCATCATAAGCATTTTCATAGGTTAAATTTTATTTCAAATCTTCTGTAGTGGTTCAATTCATTGAACTGGTTCAAACATATTGACTTTTGGTCAGGTTGTCATGAATTTAAACTTTAGCTCATCTATGAAAGTCATCATGAGCTTGCAAATGTATATATAGTGGTTCTGCAACGCTTAGTGTTTGGTTGTCAAGTTGTATGGTGTTGCTCATGTCTGTGCATTGTTATAATTCCCTGTGTCTTTTTTCCATAGATTACGTTCTCATTTTAAAAGAGGAACAGAAGATTACTGAATTTGATGTCTGAAGTACGCATTTCGCATAAATCTAAGCTAATAAATTAACTGTTAAGTTATCCTGATAACCTCGTCTAAAGAAAATCTCATCGTCTTATCTGATTATGATTAAAGCTGGAAGAAAATCGGTAACATAATTAGATTAGAACTAGAAGATATATGTCTTACTTATCTCGTGTTCAAAAAAGAAGCAACATGAAATCGAACGAGCTGTTGTGCCATCCTTATTCATGATTTTTACAATATAATACAATAATATTACCATCCAACCACGACACCACACCACCCTTACGAAAAATGGACTGACTGGAAAGTACTTATAATTTGATCACCATCATATTTGACAGCATAAAATTCATATTAACTACAGAATCGAACAATAAACTACCATCCGTCCATATATCGATCACCAGAATCCTTATAGAAAAACTTGAGTTTCGAATAAATCAGAACCGCCAATCCAATGATGATTATATCATCAATATAAAACCAACAACCCATTGTGTATAAACAGTGATTGATGGAGTGTAGGCGCACTGTAATCCTGTCATTACACAGAGAAACTGAAAAGATTACGCCCTATGAATGTATTTCAGAAAAGTGGCTACCGAAAATATCAAAAATTGCTTAGCCAATGAGCCATCAATTACACAATCAACAGGAAATACCATAAAGCAAATAATCTTGTTCTAAACGATGGAAGGAAATAGTTTATTAAGGCTGTTACGAATAAGTATAGTCCTCTAAATGCTTCGGTTTGGGCACCCGGGCAGTATCACAGCCCCCACACATATCAAATGAGATTTGTGTGGCGCATATGTATTTGGTGCCTCCTAGTACCAATATCTGTGTTAAAATAAATAAATAAATAATCATACTAAGCTGAGAACACAGTGACAAATGATAAGCTAATTATCATCCACAAGATAAGTTATAATAACTGCAAACAACACTATATCATACAAACTGCCCACCCTCTCTGTCTGTCTAAATGAACACTAGCTAGCTGTTAAATAGCATGATATATCCTCACTTATATCAATAATTATGGACAATTATAGACAGAGAAAACACAAACAAAACCATAGAAGACAGCACCAAGGTCACTCATCGATCAATCGACGCATTGAAATAGACCTGATAGTTCGGCCAATAAGAAAAATAGCAAACAACTACAAGGTCAGAGTTCAGGTCAAGGGAAAAGATAATAACTATCAACGTGCAGACAATGACAACACAATATGGACAATAACCAATTATATTCCATATTAACAGAATAAATTGCTGGTGGATTGTGGAGCAACTTGACTAACTCACAAATACACAACACCTCTATAGGTAACAAAGTGGAAGCAGATATATGCCACTAACGAGATCATTGTTTAGTAAACAGTTAGGTATTTGGTTACAGGATGTTTAGAACTTAGCGGATAAAGAATGAAATGATCCGCATGTTTGTGATTAACTTTAATTCATGCCGATTAGAATTTTCTTTACTCATGAATTCAATCTGCCCGTGTTTCGATATGCTACAATTTACAGTTACATGATATGATAAATCGAATCATACTGCTAAACTCTCATGTCTTTGAGTTTCTCGGACTTTAATGTTATCTTTTTATGTATAAGCTTTTTATTCTTAATTGATCTTTCACCTACAACTATGAATGGTAATTATGACCCAATCTTTTGTTGTTAATACATTTGCTTCATATGATTGACTTGTTTTTAATAATTTCATGTCTTAGAGTGGCGTTTCCAGTCAGCTCCGATAAGTCTTGTACTTAAACTCTGAGCTAACCACTTCCTAGTCTTCATAAATCTCTCAGAGAGCGGTAAGTATAGATGTCTTACATAAAAGACTAAACTACATGTGAACACGGGCGTATTTATAGAACCATATGTAACCTTGAGTTTCTAGAAACTTCTGTGGAATACGATATAACGAATTCGCTAGTCGTCCAATCGGGCCAAAGGAATAATAGTCAGCAGTTTTTTTTAATTTCTCTTGAAAGCTTCCAAAAACGATCTCCCAAAATATTCTTCTAGCGTTTAGAGGATTTTCCGAGAAACTGTTAAGGACACCCACCAACTTCTTATTCAGTCACTAATACATCAAAGTGGTAATTGGTTGATTTCGACATTTTAGTGGTGTCTTTTATTTCATTTTTTACACAATACATTTCGTCTAGAGTCTATTGCAAGAAAATAAAATATTTTTCTTATGAATATGTATTCCGTTATTGTTATTACTATGGTTCATTTTTTAATCTAGAGAGGGGGATTCATTTATCATTTGTTCTTTCCTTCTATCTCTAATTCACTATATATCAGCTTTTACAACGCCATTCAATACCACAACGATTATTCGGTGATGTTGTATTGGGAATGTGTCAAGCATCTGTTAGTGATATTTTATCAAAAACACGTCCTTGGTCACATTTATCAAATAAGGCAAGAATACCATATGTACGTTTACATTTATGGCTACAAGAACCAGATCATTTGGAAATGTTGAAAGCTGCTCAAGCAAATATCAAAAGTAAATTTCCTTACACTTTTGTTTATATATAGTGTTGTAATAATTATTTTAAATAGAGATGAAACTAAACTGTTGTATTGAAAAGTAGACAAGACTGTTCAGAACGTTCATTCATTTTTAAATGAATTATTTCTTGTATTCGTGGGTCACTATGTGTATGCTTTTAGAATTTCAATTATTTTATTTTGCATCACCTATTACGATTTAAAAAAAGCCAGATATATCGAGTGTTAGTAGCCTTGATATAAGATAGTTGTAGCTCATCGTTTAGATAATTGCTAACTTGTTCAAGTTCCGCTTAAATTACGTAATGTTTGCTTCTGGTTAGTTATCTCTAGTGCAAGTAAGAAATCTATTTACTAGACAAAGGACGAGTATTCTGTGCAAAAGTTCATTCAGTTTTACATTATGGCTGTGAAAAATAACCTTTAAAAGTAGACATTTGTGAGTTACTAGTGTTCGTTCGTAGGTGCTTGTTCGTACGTTGCTCATACCTGATTGACCTAATCAGCTCAGATTTTTTCCAATTTATTCGTATGTTAAATACCAACACCAACTCGATATATATATATATATATATATATATATATATATATATATATATATATATACTGATTTCTTATTCACAGTATATAATAAACTTGCTTTCTTCCGTTATTATCGCTAATCTGTTTTTCCAATAAACATGATCTGGTCACCTATATATACTGTTTTATGGATTATCAATTAATCAATAATTTATATTGATAGGACTTTCTGATATGAACATAAATCAAGTCAAGTGATTTACCCTATATACCCACGTTATTAGGTCTTAACAACATTGTTTTCGTTTATTTACGATACGTTGAAAACTAACAGCAATAATCACATTATCATTGTGCACATTGAGACCTGGTAACATATATTGTTTAAAAGTTGGCCAGGTGGGGCAGTATTTGAATCGATGAATAAAATAAGCTCTTTTAATTGAAAATGGTTAGTGGCGTAAGGTTTTAGGTTCGAGTCCGGGAATGAACACCAACACTGAACTGCAACTACATTGAGCTGAAGAGCGCCGGATGGAACGTGACGTGGGTCTTAATTTCAATTACTAGCTACTATCCAGTTTCCCTATAACGAAATGTTTATGGTTTTAGTGGAAATGTCGAGGCATTCCACTCAGGATGCATATTTGTCAAAAGATATTGTTCAACATTCAGTTCGTTACATCGATAACGGGAAGATTCAGAAATATAATCTTTTATTATTCAAACTTTTCAGCTTTATATCTTTTTAAAATATTTGTTGTTGTTATTTATCTAGCGTTTTCACGTCCTAATAGTAATGTAAAAATAATTCAAGGTCATGAAACGTCAACTATACAACAGCAGCAACAACAAATATCTGATTTATCCTGTGAATATTTACCATCGATTAAACCGGAATCATCAGATATAGTAACTTCTTCCGATTTAAGAAGTAAGCAACATTCATCATCGTCAATAGCAATAACGACAACAACAACCACAACAGCATCTCGTAAACGTACACCTTCATTATCATCATCACCGTCGTCATCATTATGCAATCAAGATAATTTAATTAATTCACCGATTTCTAATAAAAATAGTAAATTGTTAAAAATTGATAAGTCACAAATCATATTGTCACCTAATAATAATAATAATAAAATAAAAAGTGCCACAATTAATAATTCATCACAAATTGCACCAATTGATCATTTAAATGAATATGAACGTCAAAGTCTATTTGATATAGCTAAAGCAGCAACAACTGTTATGCTGTTGGCATCAAACTCTAATTCTTGCAGACAAAATCAAATTAAATCAAAATTATTAACAAATTCAAAGAAAAAATCTAATAATAATCTGTCAAAATGTAAACGTCATCAAGTTATCAGTAGTGGTAGTAGTCGTAGTCTTCGTCGTCGTCTTTGTAATATTAGTCAATCACAACAGGATGCATTAATATCAGCTTGTAGTGAGCATCAATTACCTTTATCAACAGAAACTATGAAATCGCTTGCTCAAGATTTATGTCTTCCATATAAAACGGTTAGTTTTGTTCTTTTCTTTATATATATATAACAGATCAATCTCAGTCTGAAAATCTCAATGGTGGTAATTTCTCACACTGTAAAGCAGCGTAACGCAGGTATAGATCCAACAGAGAGTATCAGTTCTCTCAAGATCCCAGGTATGCCTTGCTGACCTATGTCAAAAAAATGAAACTTATCCGGAGGAGGGCTTCTTGTTGACTGCTATCAACCACTGAATAAGTACTTATGTAAAAATGTTTAAATATTATGGTTATGTACAATCAATTAAATCTTAGAAATTAACAATTAGAAAATATAAACATAGAAAGATGTAAGCCCATCCAACAAAAATCTAATTCGAACCTTGAGTCTCATCCTCTGAGATAATATTCATAACGCCATGCCTGAACCACCAAAGCCGGTGTTCCTAGACGATGACTTTTTCCGTAAGGTAGTTTGTACTCGATGAACCATTGAACTTCACGAAGAGGTAATAGCCTGTTTTATATTGTCTTCTAATTTCTCAACACTGTGTACAAGCACGACCCCTCCGGAGTTTGAACGTAGAACCTTTGAATCTCGAAATGAACACAATACTATATAACTACTGAGTTGTTAAACAACAATAGTTGATATTTATGGAACTTCTGTTGATTTATTGCTGAATTAGGTTTTAGTGATCATAGTTGTCTAATATATTCGATTAATAATCGTGAAAATATGGACAATCTGCCTAGTTCGTGTAGACACACTGTCCAAAATTTTACTTAATTTTTAAATATTAGCTTACTTATTTCATAAGGCACCATTCAACTACATCTTCATTGCTATTACTTAATTAACAAAATAATCTGATTTATTGAGCGAATTTTGTCAAATTATTATTATAAATTTCACCCCACCTTCGTCGATATCCAACGTTATCTGACATGGGAAAATGTTTGGATAGAACTAGGCGCAAGCAAACTAAGAGGTCCCTTCAATTGGTTGACCTTGTTCTGGGCTACGTCGTTAGGTGGAAACTTCTCGGTTTGGACAACCACAATACTTATCAATCGATGGCTAGCGACGTTGAGTCTCATAATGTAAAATCGGCCACATAAGCTCCTAATTTTTTGAGATAAATGTCATTCGCAAATTTTCACACTTCGATCTTATCCGTTTATACTCTTAATCTCATGCTACGTTTATGGTAATTGTACCAACTTGGGTCGAGAAAAATCCATGCTAGATCTTACATTAGTAACTGACCGACTGACACATCTAACTCTAATATCGTCCTCACAACTATTTACCTATTGATCCATCATACTTTGATCTCGATGTGCTTGGTTTTCGCTTTTGATAATTGTATTTTTTTTTGTTTTGAATTCCCTCACACGCACAATCACATACCAGATTTTAAGTTGGATACATAATTATCGAACATATATTCAACGAAATAATCAGTCTAAACTTGAAATTGTCTCAGATGCTGAAAGTGATTATTCCATTGAAGAATCAAATGATACGTTGTACGACAATGATATTGCTCTTGAAAAACAACATAAACCGCCAATGGCGACAACATCAACTAATACGGCAACCACTACAGATCACTTAACATCGTCATCATCAGATCGATATGCGGATAAACAGCACTTACCACATAATAGACGTAAACCAATTAATCCTACTAGGTTAGCAAGTGCAGTGGCTGTTGCAAATTCCCCTAGTAAATCAATTCATCCTGCCACATTATCTAATTCAAATGAACACGAAAATTCGATTGTTCCTGTGACTTGAAAAATTATTCTCTCCCTTTTTTGTAGAACATCAAAAACTAACTATTCAACAACAATGCATAAAATGTATATGTTTGTATTTTCGGTGTAATATTTTTAAAACATTAATATCAGGGTTATTATTATTTGGAATTATATATATATATATATATATATATATATATATATATATATATATAATTATGCATTTTGTATTACTGTTACTGTTATTATTGTCCCTCCATCCGGTGAACTGCATACACTACAATCTGTCACATGGTTTTTCCAATGTCTTTTTTTTATATTTCATTTATTTATATACTTATTTGTAAAATGCTAAAAAGCAGTTGTTTTCATTACCTTAATCTTAGTATGGTATACATATACTTCAATACTCAATTTCCTTTTGAATCTATCATATTTCTCTTTTTATTTTTCTCTTCTTTCCCTATTAATCTGTCAATTGATAGTTGAAAATTGCCCTTTCCTTTTTTTCTCCTCGTTCCTAAAGAAGAAATCAAACAATCAGATAAACAAACATCTTTTTAACACTAATTCTATGCATGTTGAATCGTCTTCTCGGGAAAAAAATTCAATATTTTTTTTAACAAAAATTATATATATAATAATTATTGATTATTTACTGTTTAATTTGCTTCCTTGTTTTCGTTCTTTTGTCAAAAGCCATTTTTCACCTTGAAATTTATTATAGTTGAATATAATTTGTTTTGTTTGAAAAAAACAACAACAACATTCAATCATCATGTGTAGACGGTATATTTTTTTAAAGTGAACATTTTATTGTATGTATTTTTTAATTCACATATCTGTGTTTATTATCTTCACAATTTTGTGTATGAGATACTATACAAGTATCCATATTATATATATGGATACGTTTTAATCCATAAGAAGAAAGATTTTCAAACTCATCACCAGTTTTTGTGCACTGAGCTTATTTTCTGTTTTCTTTTTGTTTATTTGTTTAATTCTTTTAATTAACAAATTACCCCTTAATTGCATATATAGTAATTGATTATTATTAATATTATAACTATTAATTTATTTATTCTATCTAATATGAATATTATGTTATTTTGTGTTTCTAATTATAATGTAATGATTGATGATAATCCAGTCAAGTGCATTTGTACTTTATGTGTTTTTATTTTTTCACCTATACTGTGGCAACTTTGTGCATATATGATATATATATATATATAACTGATTTTTTTGATACATATATGTATGTGTAGAAATTTATTTTTACTTGATGTATTTTTATTTTTTTTAAAAGAAGGGGGTTAGATGTCTAGGGAATAATGTCCCACTTTCAATGTAAATTTCCGTATTCACTATGACTTCTTATGAAGGTATGACATGGTTAATGAAGTTGCAGTCATTATTCTGACATCTTTTGATGGCGATAAGCAAATATTTACCCTTATATTAATTCCGGCTAACTCTGTATATATAGTTGTGTTATTTAAAATCTAAATATGAGATTTAGTCAGATGTTCATATTCCACACATTCAAATGCGCTAATAAATAGTGAGAATTAATATACAAATGTAGTGTGTATTTTCACTATTCCCAATGGAACGAAACATAATTAGGTAACTCAGTTTTCATATCAAATAGATGACGTATAAATTATATGGACAAATAAATCCGGAAAAGTCGTCATATATACTAGTGGTTAGTCAGTTTTACAAGAACAATTACAGTGTGATAAATAAGCTCGCTTATGGTAGCGTTTTTCTATTTTTAAATGATTAGATGAAAAGCGAAAAAATATCAAGATCGCCACAGAGTAATCAGGTTGCTATCCTCAAAACACGTGTCTGGACCATTCCGTGTCTACTTAGTGGGACGGTCTGTCCTAGTTGTGTGATTGGGGTCGAATATTCTGTTGGTTCCTATTTTCAATTAGTGTTTGTCGCGTATCTGGAGCTCATTCAATGACAGTACTTGTATGTACCTAGCATTATCAAGCTTTACAAGGTGATTTACGTTATCTATAGCAAACCAACTGACACACTAATGTGGATCCGAGTATAGCTCTCCACCTTGAAGGGAAACTTGAGATGGGTAGGAATCTGTACATGAACCAATATCATAGAATAAGTAGAAAGTTGACCTTATGACATTGGCACAAACCAATAGTGTTTTCTGGATTCCGTATTGTTCGAACGAGACCGATAAAACAAGAGAGAGGTGGAGTAGCGTCATCTTGAGACTATTTCTCCTGTCAACATCTTGGTAGCCAAATGCTAGGAGCTCGATTGATGCATACTCCATGCTGATAACAATAAAACGACACAATCTACGAAGTCGTCGTGACAGTGAAGTTACACGAACTCCGAAACGCATGATTCCCCGAGCTAACTGCGCACTAATATAGAGCGTTTATACTGAACATTGAATGGTGGAGGAAAATTAGTAAAGGAACATAATAGGAACTGGATTGCTCGGAAATCTAGGCGTAGTCACTCTGTGGCCTATTCTTATTTTTACCAAATATATTCTATCGGTGAGCTTGTAGTTGCTTCGAAGCAGAGCATATAATCACTGAAAAGATTCGTATTCAATAACTGACACGAATAAAAGTTCAACAATGGAGTACGCAAGAACGTTGAACTCAACTCAATGAAGTGGCATGTCTCAGCATAGCAGGCGTGATCACTGTGTATAACTTGTCTTTACTCTTATTAAATATATTATTCAATCTTTAACCTAAATGTGTTATTTACAAACACCAAACTTTATATCTCGAATCTTTACGATACGATTCAGAGTAGACAATCATGTGACTTCCACTTAAGGTCTTACAGATTAAGTTTTCACATCTATTAGGATTAGGTCTGTTGTAATAATAATACTAATAACGAAGTTGACTATAATTCTACAAGCTTATGTTTGTCGTCTAAATGTACTTATTGCCCAGTATTCCTGGCATCTGCGGCAGGGCAGGACGGGACGTCTAGTGACATGACAGTCACATTACGACCAGTCAACTTTGTTGCATAAAGCCTATCAGTTCAGGGGAAGAGGTAAACTCAATAATACTCGCCAATACATTAGAGACCAACATTGGTAAGATCAATAAGTGCTCTGAGGCCTTCAGCCAACATTTCGAAAACAAATACATCCAGGCATCACTTGCGTCAGTGTCTGATAAACTGGGGTAGTTGAGACCTGAAAAGCTATTGTGTTACAATAACATACACATAGTCAACGTGTAATACTGTAATGAAACCTATCACCTGTAATTTATTTTTAGACAAGCGGTGTTTTCAATTACTACCAAAGATAGTGAAATTTTTCATCTCAGCAATGACCTAATCTACTAAAAGCCAGCAATATATAACTGAGTGATCGAGACATGGGGGTATATCATGGAAACCATCCTGTCCATAGCAGGTGTAGTAATAAATACATTCCCAGAATGTATAACTATGTAAGTCTTCAACATTTGAAGCTGAACGCACTAGTTTTAATGTAGTAGCGCTCGGTCACGCATGCACACCAGATCACGAATTGGTAAACTGTGCTTCACTTATCCCACGAACCCTAGCCAGCTTATATTGATCACTCCTCGATATATCGCCAGCCTATCAAATATATCTTTGAGCCTCTTCGCTTCTGACATTTGGTACGTCTCGATTATAAAAGTATACACAGTTACGGTGTTCTCAAACTCTGAATACTCGTGCCATTTTTACATGTTACATGACTTCGAAATGGTCTTGTAGCGGTAAACAAATCTTCAAAATAAATAGCTCTGTAAGTTTTCGACATACACGTTTCATACCGAATTGCGCGTCACAAATGAAACCTCTTACCCACCAACTTCGTGGAAATGCGAAGTCCATCAAACTGGACGACACTGCGCGAAAAGCATTCTCCACAGCTAAGGAACTTATCGCTCAAGCAGTAATGCTTGATCATCAGGACACTGAAGCAACCATTAGTATGTAGTGACTCACGTTTATCACGAGAACACGACTGGTTTAATAAAAACAACTATTATTATAACCAACTGTACCAGTGTTTGTTTTAACGTGCTTTTGTTTGACTGTACTAATGACAGCTATTTTGTGCTTCCATTCTTTCACTTACACTTCGATTGTAACTTCGCGCGGATTCGGTTACCTTCTGTAACCAAGGTTGTATCCTAGTACGATCTCGGTATCCTTTCGATGCCACGAGATCGCCAGCTAATAAACCTCGACTTGGTCCATTAACTGTCTTCTGATATTTGGCTTCTCGGGGATTTTATGGAGTCATTTGGAACGAGCTTCTTACGCCTTCTGATTTATTTGGCACGTGTTTCTTGGTAGCGGTGTTCATAGTTAATCTCAACTCGACGCCACGCTACAATTGGTAATCCCAACTCGCTACAAGTATCGCAGTAGACGCATCCGACTTAGCAATCGGAGGAGTCTTACAATAATAGGCTAACTAATTCTAGCAGCCTTTGACATTTTTCTCTAGACGGTTGCTAGACACTGAATCGAGGTACAGCACATTCGGTTAAGAACTCCTAGCTATGTATTGTGCTGTACGGCATTTCCAACACTATATCAAAGGCCGTGAATTTACCCTTTTCACTGACCATAAACCGCTTACCTTCTCTTTAAGCTCTTCTTCAGACAAGTACAAAATTAAAGAACGACATTTGGGTCGACTATTTGTAAATTGCGAATGGACTTTGGTACCTAAATTAGCGATTGGTTCTATTTTTAATTTGGGTCCGTAAATTGTTAATAGACCGACGTACCGTACTTCAATAACGGAAACGAGCAAAAACTTGGACGTAACAAGAACTCCCAGGCATTTATTACGCTGTACGGCACTTTAGACACTGTTGAAGATCGAGAATTCACTCTTTTCACCGATCACAAACCTCTTACCTATTTTTCAAGCTCAACTTCAGAGAAGTACTCACCTCGTGAGACTCAACAACTGGACTACAGCTCCCAGTTTACTTCAGACATTCAACACATTTCTGGAGCAAA